ATATTATATATTTAGTTTTTGTTCTCGAGCATGTGCACTCACTGGGGGAGGGGCAGGGGAGAGAGATCACCCCGGGTGGGGGGTAATGGCCATGCCTGCAATCTTTCTCCATTCTCCTTTTGGGATTTTGGGCAAGCATACACACATGCCTGGCATCTTTGTCAAGCCTCTGGGTCCAGGACTTGGAACTGCTCAGTCAGCCAATCTGGGATCCAGCAGCCTTAACCATCACACCACTGGCTGGCCCTAGGTAGTTGCTATTAATCATCCACATTTTATAGATCAGAGACAGAAACTGGTAAATTTGGTGACCTTATGTAATTTGCTCAAGGTTTCATAGCTAATAAGTGGCAGAGCTTGGGTTTGATTCTAAATTTAACTGCAAATTCAGTGTATTTAATCACTTTCTTTTATTGCCTTCCATCTCTGCATGAGCTCCTTTTTAACATTGTTGCTGCAGTTTATGGAAACTAGTTCAAAAATCACTGCTTGCTAGCTGCATAAGAACCATCTGGATTAAAAATACTGGTTCCTGGATCTTCCCCCCAGGAGATTGTAGGGTGGGCTCAGAGTGTGTGTTTAGACATGCGTCCAAGGTGATGCTGATGGCACTGTATAGGACAGATGGTGAGACCAGGCCACTTTACAGCTGCACCGCAATCTTGGTGTCTAAGGGTTATGGTTAGATTATTTTGGGTTAGTTGTGAACCTGTTTAAAATGATATGCGTCATTGCTTTTGTCTTTAGGAACAACGCTTAAAGTTTTTAAAGCAACAAGATCAGCGTCAACAACAACAAGCTGCTGAGCAGGAGAAGCTTAAGAGGCTGAAAGAAATAGCTGAGAGTCAGGAAGCTAAGCTAAGAAAAGTGAGAGCACTTAAAGGCCACGTGGAACAGAAGAGGCTCAGCAATGGGAAACTTGGTGAGTAGCTTATCAGTTTCCTTTACTACTCAAGGCTACAGAGTCAAACTGTTTAGGTTTGAAGAAATCACATCGGTGTAGGAAGTTTATATACATTTATAGTAAATAATAAGAATAAGGTGACTTTAAACATTTTTTAAAAAAGGATATAATTCACTAGTCTGATACTGCAGGTTCCTCTGAATCGGATTTCTCTGTTGAATGTTTTAGACAAGGTTTCTAAGATACTTTTGGAAGTGCAGTAGTTGGGATTTTTTTTTTTTAAATTCTGAATACCTTTTGATTGAGAATTTGATAAAAGTATGGACTTTTATTCATGGAATAGCTTCATCATTATAATACCATTTTGATCAAAATTAAAGTGGTTTAATAGCTCCATCTACTATTGTAAAATTGAACTGAAAAGTTCTAAAGAAATCATTGTTTCTAAATCCATGTTGACTTCAATAGATTCTAAAAGAAACAGGTTGGTTCTAGGACATTCTGGAAGATTTCTCAGCTCTTTATTAGGGAGTCTGTTGTAAAGCCTGGTTGCCTGGGAAATAGTCCTCTCTTTTTCTTTTCAACCGTTGTTCTCGCTCTCATTCTAGTGGAGGAGATTGAGCAGATGAATAGTTTGTTCCAGCAAAAACAGAGGGAGCTCGTTCTGGCTGTCTCAAAAGTTGAGGAACTTACGAGACAACTAGAGATGCTCAAGAACGGCAGGATAGATGGCCACCATGACAACCAGTCTGCAGTGGCTGAGCTTGATCGCCTCTACAAGGAGCTGCAGGTAAACCACAGCCACATGTTAAACAAGACAGGACTTCAGTAAGTTTGTAGAAAATGGAGCTAAAGGACAGGTTTATTTTGGTACAAAAACGTTTTAAATCTATGCTTAGTTTTTTCATAATATGCTTTCCTTGTGAACTTGTAGAAGATCCCTTGTATGCTGTAAGCTCTTCTCCAGAAAATTAGAGTTGTCCATTTATGCTGCAGGAATTGCTAGAGTTCAGTTGCTTTTCTGTAGAGGAAGTGGGAGCATGGTGGGTATTTAAACCCCAGAGAATGGAGAATAAACTCTGTAGTACCTCAAACAAGAAATTTGAGACATTCTTCATAATCACAGCCAGTGTCTAGCACAGATGTCACTTAATTTTAAGCCATGAAATGAAATGTGGAACGACCTTGCATTTTTAGAAATTATATAATAGTTAACCATGTGATTATGTGCTTGAGAAATTTTTCTTCCAACTCCTTAGCCTCCCCCCTCCCTTATTTCCCCCTCCTTTTTGTTCAGTTAAGAAACAAATTTAATCAAGAGCAAAATGCCAAGCTACAACAACAGAGGGAGTGTTTGAATAAGCGGAATTCAGAAGTGGCAGTCATGGATAAGCGTGTTAATGAGCTGAGGGACCGGCTGTGGAAGAAGAAGGCGGCGCTGCAGCAGAAAGAGAACCTACCAGTGAGTGGGCTTCTGTGCCTTGGGCCAGGGAGGAGGAAAACCATGGCCAGCCTAGTGAGGTCAGTTATTCATAACCAGCTTCTGAATCATCAGTCTGGGAGCTTTCCGAAAAGAGCAGCAGTGTTTACGGATCCTCCAGAGATAATCCACCACGTTTTTACATTTTAATGTTATTATCTGTATAGCTTTGCTTTTCTTTCTAAAGCTTGTAATAAAGTATGGGTAAGAGTTCATCGTAGAGTGATCTTGTTCTGGGACATTTCTTGCAGACTCTACGGCTGGATTCTGAAAGTACTCATTTAGAAAATGATGCACATTTCACAGCTTTTCCTGAGTCTGATCATGCAGTGTGACTTGTAATACTAAAGGACCTGTGCTTTCTTCCTAAGGTTTCATCTGACGGAAATTTACCCCAGCAAGCGGGATCTGCCCCGAGCCGCGTGGCTGCAGTAGGTCCCTACATCCAGTCGTCTACTATGCCACGGATGCCCTCAAGGCCCGAACTTTTGGTGAAGCCGGCCCTGCCTGATGGTTCTGTGGGCATGCAGGCTTCAGAGGGGCCGATGAAGATACAGACACTGCCAAATATGCGATCTGGGGCCGCTTCACAAGTGAAAGGTAAAAAATGAGGCGTTTCCTAGTCCTTAACACAGCTTAGTTCTTCCTGTCCCCACTGTTATTTTTCCCGTTTGAGTTCTAACAAAAATTTGTATTTGTAGCCCTCATTTATGTTTGAAAACTAAAAATCCTTTGTGTTCTTCCTAGTGATAAATTTTTAACCCCAAACAATACAATTCTATTGAGGAAATGAAAGAAAATAGTTTTATAGATCTGAAAATCATTTTTAAAAGTCCCTTTTGTTACTAAGGAAATTTGGATCTGATGTAATAACTTGATAATATTTTGTGTAAAAACATCATATATGTCAGTATTGGTGGTGTCATTTTTACATGCTATGAGGTAGTGAATCTGATGAATGATAATAATAGTCCTATGTGTCTGTGTGTGAGAATATGCCCACTGATAGCTTTTAGATAACGGTAAAGATAAGTGAAAACAGGACTTCTGGCATTAGTGATCTTGCACTGTTCCATTCCCAGATACATGGGGAAGTGTGAGCCAGTTTTTAGTGGAGTAAAACGGAGAGTTGTAGGCAAGGCAGAGTACTCACAGCTTTCAGTAACCTTATCATTCAGATCCCTGAAAGGAAAAACTAGTCTCTGGTAAGGTGTCTTTTCTCTAACCATTGTCATATGCAACAAAATGGCTAACTTAAAAGTATTCTTTATTTCACCAAAGTGACTTCTATGAAGCAATAGTGCTGTGTAGTCTGAATTTTATTGTGGAGAGAATTCTGTTTTGCTTTTATAAAGAAAAATAAAAGCCATAGCTTTTAAAATGTAAATATTAGTGAAGAAAAAAACCTGAACACTCTGATTTGTGAAAGGCTGACTGAAGTCATGGGCTAAAATTTCACCTTTCTCCCTTTTCGTTATGCATATGTCACTTAATCTGTCTTTGATAAGGTATACCTTAGACACTGAGGTCAGCTGAATTGGAAATTGTTTCCTGGGGAAAAGTACTGTTTTCTTATGCAGTGAAGAATAGTATCTCCCTGCTGGTGCAAGCACACTTTCTGTTATCTATGAGTAATTTTCAATTGCTTGAATATGGTGGGAAAATCTTAAATTAGAAATACGAAATCTAATAAATTTACTAGTGTTGTAAGTAAGGGATTTAAAACCATTTTTAGAAATTAAAAGTCTTAGTAAAATGAACCACTGAAAATCTTTTTAGAATGCTCAAGTTACTTACAGCTGCTTTTTCTGCACTCTAGGCTCTAAAATTCACCTGGTGGGCCCTGACTGGAGTCCTTCAAATGCAGATCTTTTCCCAAGCCAGGGCTCTCCTTCTGTACCTCAAAGTGCTGGGACTGCTCTGGACCAAGGTGAGGTTGATTTGTGCTACTCCCAAATGTTATAGTTTGGAGTAGTAGTATAGTTTGGTCCTCTAAAAGGCACCATATATTCTTTTTTAGATAGTTAGTTTCTAGTGTGTTAAAACTAGGGACACTACCTAACAGTATTCAGTTTATTTGCAGAACACCTTCATTTAGCTGGAGAACTAAGGTGCTATTATTGTAATGTTTGGATTATTCTTTTATCAACTTAATTTAAAAATAGGAAAGTACTTTGTAGGTATAGTGTTTTAGAGATATTCAGGAAAGTGAATAAGAAATTGTATTCTTAACAGTTTAGTAACAATATGATTTTTTTCTGCCTTCAGTTGACGATGGGGAGGTTCCACTGAGGGAGAAAGAGAAGAAAGTCCGTCCCTTTTCAATGTTTGACACAGTAGACCAGTCTGCTGCTCCGCCTGCCTTTGGTGCTCTGAGGAAAAACCAGAGCAGTGAAGATATCTTGAGGGATGCTCAGGTACTTAAGAGTATTCCAGCTTTTATGGCCAACCATGGTTTGAGTTCCGGACCTGGCGGCTTGCTTTCACACTTTCCCTCCCTCTCTTTTTGTCTCTTTCCAATCAAATTAAAAAATAGAAATAATATAAAAGTTAAATAAGTAATTCTTTTTTAAAAAAAAAAATTAGGGATCAGTAGATGATGGAATGGTTATGTCACTGGTCTCCCACGTAGTCGACTGTGGTTTGAGTCCTGGACCCAGTGGCTTAACCCTCACTCCAGGTGCATGTGTGTACGTTCCTGAGAGGAGAATGGAGGAGAAGGGATTGTGGCATGGCCATTGCCCCAGAGGATAATAGCTAGCTTTCTATCTCTCTGTTTCTCTCTTGTCTTTCTAGAGAGTGCATGTGCCCTATAGCAAAAATCTCTCTTGAAAAAAGAAATAAAATTTAATGGTAATTCTATAATGCAATTTTTAGAAAAGATTAAGAGTGTTATAAGAGAAAGAGCAAAGAAACACAATATATTTGGAAGATTTTAAAATCTAACAGCATTCAGTTAATTTCTCTTGTTTGAGTGTGTGTGTGCTGTCACACCATTTTGGGTATGGCTGGCATCATTGTTTCTGGTCATATTTTATGTGATTCTCTAAAATGTGCAAGTATGTTGGGGAACGTCATATTTGTGCTGTTCAGGTATCTTATTTCTTCAAAATCTGGAGTTAAGTTTATGTCAGACAACTTGATAGCAAATCTCCTGTAACCTTTAGGATCTTCACTTTCAATAACCAGGTTATGGTAGAATGGTCCCAGTTAGGTTGCATGAAGTTACAATGAACAAGAATGGTTTTCATTTATTGGTATCATCTGTGAACCTGAAAGATGTTTCAGTTAAAAGTTTCAAGTGGGCACTCAGAGTTGCCCAAATAGCAGGTGGAAACAAGGAGGTCACATGAGGAGGACTTGTATTGCATTACTGAGGTCCCTCATTAAATATGATTCAATATAGAGATTTACAACTTGGTAACAAGTTCAAAATGTAGAGCTAATATTTTTATAGTGACATTTGTGATGTTGGGTTATGTGAAACATCTTGTTACACAGTATATTTTAACTGGCTGTTTGTGCACTTACAGGCCACAAATAAAAACGTGACTAAAGTACCACCTCCTGTTCCTACAAAACCCAAACAGATTAATCTGCCTTATTTTGGACAAACTAATCAGTCACCTTCAGACATGAAGCCAGATGGAAATCCGCAGCAATTGTCAGCAGCTGCTCCGTCCACAGGAAATATACCCAAAGCAACAGGGCAGCCGCCGAGGG